GCTGTGCGAGTCCTTATCTTATCACTTACACTGTTAATTAATCATGTAGGCCTATTGACATTATTGAAATCATCTATCGAGTCATACCAACAACATTTTAAAGTATTATTGACAAAAGGAGTGATCGGCAAGATCATATTAATTTTGTTAAAAATAAAATAGCTAGTCTAGGCTTAAAGGCCTAATTGAAATGAACGGTACTGCAATTTTGCTAAAAGGCTAAAACTTTCAAATAAAAGCCTTATTGAGTCTTTAGGACTTTAGGCTACCACACATTGCTTTTGTCTAATTTCAAAAACTATTGTTCAGCTAGGCCTAAGGAACAGTTTAAGACAAAGATTTAATTTACATTTAGGCTAATAATAGGCTGGCTCTATTTCTCTGAACGCTCCGGAAAATAAACTAAACTTGAACTCTATTTCTCCGAATGGTTTCCGTTCTCGAGATTTGTTGATAATTATAAGCGAATGGAGCGGCCTGTGTGTGTGTGTGTGTGTGTGTGTGTCAGAGTACACATGTGTGTGTGTGTGCGTGTAAGTAAGGTGTGAACGGGGTGGGGATTTTTTTTGGTAACGTCAATTGCCACCGAGTGACGCGGTGGCAGTTGACGAAAATTGACTTTTTGTCAATTGCCACCGAGTGAAGTGGTATCAAGTCTGAAAACAACACTGTCTTTAGTATACATATTAATGGGTCAATTTGTTCTCAAGTAATTTCATTGGACGAGCATCTAGTCTAGAACTACGCTATCAACTTGGCATGTTTTCAATGAGACGTAGGCCTAAATCTAGGTTAGCCTTAGCCTACACTTTGGTGTAGAACTAACACAGGCAATTCTAGAAGTAGAAGGTCACAAACGCACACGAACTCAAGCAGAAAAGACACACACACACACATCCAGAGGGACAGAGAGGCGAATGCACAACACCGAGCACTCGAGCACAATAAGCTAATCTAGATCTACCCACCAACGCAAAAGAGCTCCAGAATCGGTGAATTTTTACTTTCACTCCCGCACACAGATGCACTGTTTCAGGGGTCAAACTGCAGTACTGTTTGCTGCAGATCACACATAAAGCCACTAAAACTGTCGCAAATCAATTATTTTCAAGACCATTTCAAATCTAACTGTAAAATATCAAATTATGGGTAAAAACAGGGGGGCAGGCCCCCCTGGTACCCCCCGATTGGTCCAAAGCACGTCTATCTCGGTTAAAAACAATCAAATATTTCAAAAACTATTAATTTGCGACGGAAATGAAGTTGATATTCGTGTTCTGCGCATCAATATTTAGTAGAAAATAGACAACTGGTAGCTGAGTGTGAGACGGGAGACGGGAGGGAAAGTAAAAAAATACCGAGCTCCAATTCACTCGGTGGAAATTGACAATAGTCAATTTTTGTCCATTGCCATCGCGCCACTCGGTGGCAATTGACACTACCTTTTTTTTTTACATGAAGGATTTTAGTTTTTGCTGGCTGGACTAAATGCAAAATAGGTTACTGCCAAGGTTGAGCGGTCTTGTTTTCTTGCAGTAGAATCTACCTTTTGAGAGTATATTTTCAAATGAAGTATAGTCCGGGAACGTTGCCCTAACCACAACTGAAGTATCTGAATATTCAGACATTTAAAAATCTCTAGCTCTAGAAATTGAATTTGATGCAAAAAAGCCTTTTTCCCAGTCCTCGCAAGAATGGCAGAAAGAAAGGACGCCGCCTAAATCTCGCAAAAACCCCCCAAAAATCTCGAGATCGGAAACCATTCGGAGAAACAGAGTTCAACTTTATTATCCCGAACATTCGGAAAAATAGTCACTTCGTTAATGCGTAATTTATATAGATCTACAGTCCAACACAAAAAATAAGCTTTCGGCAGATCCTCCAAAACTCTACAAGGGTAACAAGCATAACAATTTTGGAGAGGATATAAAAGCGAAGTCATTTCGTCACACATAATACATAATTGGGGTGTGATGAGATGACCGAGTGACGAAATGACCCACTACCATTATTACAATATTACTAGATTCTAGATCTAGATTTTTAGATCTAGAATCTAGATCTAGATCTAGATCTAGTAGATCTAGATCTAGATCTAGTCTAAACGTCATTTAAATCCTACATGCTCATCCACCCTGAAACCTATGGAAAGACTACAAATGATCAATGTAAAGATGGTTAAAGAACAAAAGTCGACTTACTTCCATCTGCTGGATTCTGTATCTTTTCATATTTTCCACACTGCGCACTGATGCTTTCTGATATGGTAAACACCTTGACCAAGAGAATTATCAAAAGCTTGCACTTGTTCATATTGGTTGCCTCAGGAGCACAGGAATGATAAGGTTTCCTATTTGCCTAACACCTGAGCATTAACTGCCTAAAACCACATGAAAACTTAATCTACCATGGCCATAATTTTTGTTGACATTCTCCAGTCCAGACAAGGAAAACAATCATGACGCTCTTCTTATCATCTGAATGAATGAGTGGATCAGTATCCTGTTGTGCCTTTCGGAATGTGCCTTTGAGTTTTCATAAGAAGGTATTTCATGGTGACTGAAACAACCTCCTATGTAACAAACACGAAAAACAAAGATACATAGCAAAACACGAAGAACGACTGGCAAAAAGGTGCATCATAAAACTAGACAATTAGTCAGGCCAAACACAGCCAGATGATACAGATCATGCCCACACAACTGGCTGGACAGTGCAAAGCCTTGAAATTTCTATCCCGATAGGTGGGAGGTAGAGAGGGGCTTCGTAGATATTGTGAACTGAGATGCTCAGTTGAATATTCACAGCACATGATGTTGTGTTTCACAGCAGGGTACACACAAGTTTATTCCGTTAAAATCTATCCTTTCATCTCAGATTCAGAAATAGTGTGGCCTCCCAGAATCTCTGAAAAATCACCAAAACGGGGTCAAGTCCCTCAATGCATTCTAACAGCAAAACAAGACGTAAACAACCTCTGTTGCTGATTGGTCGGTATTTCCAGCGGAGCCAGTTTCTCATTCAGCCCCCGTAGTTGCGAATAAGTTATCAAGGACACTATGTTGAGCCGCTGCAATAATCTGGGTCCTGGGTGCTGCCACTAGGCTACCGCCGCTGAGCACCGCTAGAATGACTTTGATACAGATATTGTTGCAAAAGTTACTGCATTTACACCTTTGATTTGGTCTTCCTTTATTGTATTTACACATTTGAAGCATTTCCAGCCCATAGTGATTAAATGAAAACTGTCAAATCTGTCCTTACCGTCGAATAATCTTAATCATGATTCATGATCCAAACAAACTGTGTGGGCGATGTACATGTCTCTTGAGACGACTGCTGAGAATAGAATACAGTATACACACATCATGTAGCTTGTTGTGAAGCTCTTGGATTATTGTTCATTTTTTTCTATCATAGAACATTCAGTTTTTGGTAAACGTGGAACACTTGTTCATCGTGGATATTTGTCTGCTTTTATATTAGACCGTAGGCTACATTATATTAATTTATTGTAAGTCAAGGCAGATGGGGG